GGCCAGCCAGCCAGCCACGAACACTTCTGTGTGGGGGAGAGAGAGAGAGGCCCAGCCTCTCAGCTCACTGCGAGACCCAGCTGTGGAAGCCACGCCAGGGTCTCCATCTCCCCTGGGACCTCCCAACCACAGCAGGCCAGGGCTCTGCACAACCACAGGGGGAGGGAGGCAAGACCACACCACTGCAGCTACAGACCTTTCTAGATTCTCCAGCAACACAGGAGGGGACCACAGAACTCCAACCTGCACAGGCCCCTGTGACCCAGGTGCTTCCAAGCCCCATCTTTTTCTTCTGACCCCACTTTACATAGACCTTGAACGGCTTCTCCAAGGCCATAGAGGTGCTAATCCAATCAGTACCTGGGTCAGGTGTCCTAGCCTACCCAGAGTCCTTCACCTCCTCTTTATCTGGGAAAGCCCACCTTCACGGGACATTGACTTCTGTTACTGAGCAAACACCTTAGAGAACATGTACTAGACACTTCTAGGAACGCCTACATCCATTTATCCCATTTAATTCTTACGATGTCCTCTGAAGGAGGTAGTTGTACCTCCTGTTCCCAGATGAGCCAGTTCAGGTACAAGAGGCTTAAGCCATGTTCAAGGTCACAGAGCTGGGACCAGAAGGGGCTGGGATTCAAACCTGGCCTCCCTGCTCTAGAGTTGCCTCCTGCCCCTGAACTGGAAGCAGATGGAGGAATCCTGGGAGGAAGAGCGCCACACTGGGATGCTGTCCTCCCCGAGGTCTCAGGCTCAGGCAGGGGGAGTTTCAGCCCTTCAGCCCACACCGTCTGTGGGAGGTGCCAATCTTCACCCAGGAGAGGAAATCCAGGCCAGAGAGCCATGCCCCATACCAGCACTTTGGCCATGAGGATCCTTTAATTTTGGTTCCGATTTTCAGATTTTCCCTTTCCCTCAGAGAACAAAGATGAGTGTTTCTCCTTCAGTCTTTTTCATGAGTGCAAGTACTCCAGTATTGAAGTACTGAAGCATCCCGGCTCAGCAGAGGCAAAGGGCCCTCAAAAGGAACAAGTCATTCTTCCTAAGACAGTTTCCGCCCAGTGCACCAAGCGGCCACCTGCAAATGGCTCCTGACCTCACACCTCAGGGAGACAAGTGTCCCCTGGTTCCCTCTGCTTTGGATGTCCCCCCCTTTTGTTTCCTTGGATACCATGAGCTCTTTAGGAGTGTGGGTAGGGTAGGGTTAAACTGTTTCTCCAGGAAGCTGGAAGTTAGCAGGCAGTGGGGAGGGGACGTGCAGGAACTGACATGGCAAGTGAGTGCCACAGCCCCAGCCACTCCTGCCTTACCTGCTCACCCGATACCTGGACCCCCAGGTACTGATCCGGACACTGTGATACCAAGTGCCACCAAGGCCATGCTCCCCAGGGGTTCCTGCTGTGGCCAAAGCAGCATGGGGCAGACCCAGCTCAGACCCCGGCTCTGCCACTTAGGTCGACCCTCTCTCCCCCAACCTGGCTGCCTGTCCTCCCAGGCGTAAAGCGAACTGAAATAAAACCAACGTGCAGAACTACAATTAGGAAAAACAATGAGGTAACATATGTGAAGGGACTTTGCTACATTCAAGAGACCAAGTGCTTGACTTACCACCAACTAAATATTAAAAATGAGGAAATTGGCCGGCGCTGCAGCTCACTAGGCTAATCCTCCACCTGCAGCACCAGCACACCGGGTTCTAGTCCTGGTCGGGGCGCCGGATTCTGTCCCGGTTGCCCCTCTTCCAGGCCAGCTCTCTGCTGTGGCCAGGGAGTGCAGTGGAGGATGGCCCAAGTCCTTGGGCCCTGCACCCCATGGGAGACCAGGAGAAGCACCTGGCTCCTGGCTTCAGATCAGCGTGATGCGCCGGCCACAGCGGCCATTGGAGGGTGAACCAACGGCAAAAGGAAGACCTTTCTCTGTCTCTCTCTCATTGTCCACTCTGCCTGTCAAAAAAAAAAAAAGGAGGAAATCGACACTAAAGTAAGCGCAATTCCAGGCCAAAATTATGGGCCAGTTTCATCAATGAGACCAGACCACAGAGAGCTCCAATCCTCCATCACCTACTGTGCCCAAAGCCTGGGACCACCCAGTAAATCTCTTCAACTGGAGCAGCAGGGGCTGCAGGTGAGGGGTCTCTAAGCAGCAGCAGCCCCTGCATCATACTAGCTGGCCACACTGGTACACCTGGGGCCCCCAGCAGCACCAGCCCCTCCCCCTCAGCTCTGGCCCAGGATGCACAGCCAAAGGAGAAGTCACTGTCCCAGAACTGTAGCCACTTCTCTAAAGGCAGGCAGTCATGCTTCCATTCTACGCCCTAGCAGCCTCTGGAGTTTCTTCCCACACCTCCCCTCCCAGCCGCAGACTGGCAGGCAAACACAAAGAATGAACCACATGTTGCCTGGCTTCATTAATCTGTGCGTGGAACGTTGAGGTTCCTACACTGGCTCCCATAGTCACTCACCCTATTCTCTCATCACCAGCTTTATATTAGGCTGGAAAGAGTGGAGAGCGTGAATTCTCATGGGGCTTCCGATATAGTGCAGGATGTCACTCATACAAGAGGCACAATGAGGGGCTGGCACTGTGGCATAGCGGGTAAGCCCACAGGGGCACTGGTTTGAGTCCCGGCTGCTCCACTTCTGATACAGCTCTCTGCTAAGGCCTGGGAAGGCAGTGGACAATAGCCCAAGTGCTTGGGCCCCTGCATCTGTGTGGGAGACCTGGAAAAAGCTGCTGGCTGTGGATGGGCCCAGCTCTGGTAATTGTGGCCATCTGGGGAGTGAACCAGCAGATGGAAGACTTCTCTCTGCCTCTAACTCTGCCTTTCAAAAAAAAGAAAAGAAAAAAAGGTACAATGAGCATTGCAGGGAACAGCTCAGAAATCCCAAAGGCCACTGTGTCACGCCACTCAGCCTTTGGGCACCAGAAGAGCAAAGACATGAGCTTAACGTGGACAAAGCAATGCGCTTTCTTTCATGTATTAATGCACTCAATGTAAACCAATTTAGAGATGATTTTTCCCCCATTAGTTGTTTTGTTCCTGACTGCCTAATTCGTTGATCTTTGGCTTAAGTGTTCATGGCACTAGGGTGATGAAATCAATTCCTGCAGAAGCCAACACAACACTCACTCATCCATCATTCCACAAGTACTTACAGGCTGAGCTGTATGAAATGACTAACTGTGCAGGTCAAAACAGGTGGACTGAGGGCAATTCTATAGGGTTCCCCCGGGGTGCCTCCTACTTGGATGCCAGGCCCTATGCTATGTGTAGGAATCCACAGCCACACAGATGGTGGCCCCCTGCTCACAGAGCCCACGCATCCTACAAGGAGAGATGGAAATCACCAAGTAAATAAGCTACCACTGTGAAGTGCAACCAGGGTGAAGCAGCAAATGAAAGAGGGTGATGTCAGAGTGTAGCTACCTTGGTGGGGGGGGGGGGGGGGCAGGAAATTCTCTGGGAGGAGCAGACAGGATTACAACTAAGTTGAGACCCCAATGACAGTGCATTGTCAGCCCTGTGAATGGGGTGATGTTGAGGGAGGAGACGGTCTAGCCTCGGGCAGCAGAGGGCCCACAGAATCATGGGGTCTGGCCCTACCCCACGTCTGGCTGGCCTCAAAGATCAATCAATCTGTAGCAGGCTAATTTTTAAGTTGATAAATTTTGTACGGCCTGTGAATATTGTTATAAATATCCAAAGGGCCCTTGGAAGAAAAAACAAAAAGGTTCCCCACCCCTGAACGGGTCATGATGGACCAGCACACAGACTTGCAGACTGTGAGATCCCCCAGTCTGGTCCAATTCAGGCTGCCTTACGCCAGGGGCAGCAAAGAGAGGTCAAGGTTTCCATACCAACGCATGCCTTGACCAAGGAGATCTACTCGGAAGCCCTCTGGGAGTTGATCCATGTTTTTTCCCTTCCAACACACCAGCTATCATTCTACAGCTGGCATGATATGAACAGCTTCATTATTTCATTCACTAAATTACGCTATATTGAAATTTTAATCAGTGAACCTAACATGGGCTAAACGAGTACAACCATACACTGCTGTTGCCAGTGGAAATTGTCAAATTGTTTCTTTTGCAAAAGCAATATTGCAACACAAAGGAAAAATCCATAAAGATGCTCATTTTCTTTGGCCTACCCACTCTACCTCTGGGGAATTTATCCTAGAGAAGTAATCTGGTTCAATAGGATAAAAGCCTTCTCTTCAGAAGAACTCCATTGCGGCGTTAATTGTTGCGCACCCAAAGCAAAGAAAAAACAAATCACCTGGAATTACTTAAATGGCTACAAATAGGGGGATTTTTAAGGATCAGAGGACTCACCTGAGGAAACAGTATATGCCCATTAAATGTGAGAACACAGACAACATGGAGTTTCAGAAATAAACAGGATGTCTAGGTTCTCAAAAGCAGCAGTAAAGGGAACAACACTCATTTCAAGGGAAAACTAGCAACTGGTAGCTCAAGATGACCAAGACGACAGCGGAAAAGAATTGAATGAAGGCTGGGGGATGGGGAGTTACCTAGCTCAGAAGTCCTTCCAAATACTGTCATTGCATCAAGTTTTCATTTACAAATTCCTCAGAAGCAACATGACATGCCCATGGCCATAGCACTCCCCCAAAGCACAAGGACATTTGTGCCTTGTAACCGAAAATACAAAACAAAGCCAGATGCCGCGATGCCGTCTGTGTTGTTTCCCCCAGTCTTCCACAAGTATGGGCCGGCAAGTGAGGTTCACCTTGGAGTAGCAACGCAACGTCGCCTGATTTTACAAGGTTCCCCTCTTTAGGAGGGGAGGGGGAAGGGAAGGAAGATGGGGTAAGTGGAAATGTGGGCCTCCTATGAAGTGGGAGCATGGGAGAGCAGCAGACAAGAAATGGGGGGTTAACTGCTCCCAGCAAGGCCATCCTGTGCAGGACTGGGCACGGGACCCCAACAGCTCCGGTCACAGGGAGAAAGCAGCTCGGGCTGGAGACACTCACCTTTCACAATCAGCTCTGCGTAGTTGGACACACCGGACCCCCCATCCGAGCGGATCACACAGCGGTACTTGCTGACGCTGCGCTGGGCGGTGTCCGCCACACTCACGGTGGCCGAGAAGCGTCTGTGGTTGACCACACGAGTGACCATGAGGGCCGTGTCTCTGCCATTCCATTGCTGCGGGGCAGAGGAGAGAGGGGAGGAGAAATTATAGCAGCAAGTGCTCCCAGGTGAACTCCAGCACGGGGGCTCCACCCATCCCCACACTTGAGGGCCAGAACTCCCCCACCCCACCATGATGAGGCTGGTATGCACTAGTTATTTAATTGAACAAACTCTGCTAAGGAGATGGTTAAGAGGAGGGACACCTGGTGTTCAGAAAAGCGAGGAGACACCCTAAACACCTGGGTCCTTCCTCAGCCTGCACTTGGGACTGGGCCGTGGCCCCTTAGCCTGCCTCCTTCCTACCTCCATCCCTTAAGCAAAACCACAGTGTCTACCAAAGACACAGCTGTGTTCCTTCATGAAATCTCAGTGCACAGGGAATGGTAATAAACGCTTCGGCTTCTAGTCCTAGAGCTGATGGCTGGATGCACCATGCCCTGGGCCTGAGCACCCCTGCACCAGGCTGTCATGGTGGAGAGGGTGTGGACGTGTGGACGAGGGCTTCTCAGCTCTGCTCTTCCTGGGCTTGTGCACTTTACCTGGCATTTCCTGACTCGCTGGGAGTAGTCCCCGCCCTTTCCACCCCCGTTCAGCTCTCTCCCTGACAGATGCACCAGCTTCCGGGGACCAGTCAGGCTTTGTGTGATCAAACTTTCCATACAATTTCCCACTTCAGACTGGGAGCACCCTGAAGGCAAGACTATTCTTTATTCCTCTCCAGCATCTTGCCTCAGCGGGCTAAACATTTTTAGAACACAGGTAAATACACACAGGTTTTTATTTTTAGTATCCTGAGTTTTAGGTGGGAGTTTGAGTCTTCGACCCCTTACTGACTGGCACAAGTTATGAAAACCCAAAAGGCACGTGCATAACCCACAGCACACACATGTAGATGCGGTCTCAGAATGTGCCCGACCCTGAGCTGGGCTTTTGTATAAATCTCCTCATTAATCGTCACAGCCCTGTTTGAGTTTTGCATCATCGCTGCTTTGCTCTAAAAAAGAATTCAAGTGTCAAAGAGGATAAGTAAATATGCAGAGCAAATACGTTCCTTATCCAGGCTTTCCAACATCAACCCAAACATTCTTTTTCTAAGATCTTTTCCTCACTGTCTGCCTTAATTTAAAAAAAAAAAAATTCTAGAAGTGAAATCGAGGTGGGAAATGGCACAGTGGTTAAGTCGCCACTTGAGATGCCTGCATCCTATATGGGAGTGCCTGGGTTTGAGACTCGCCTCCAGTTCGGATCCAGCTTCCTTGAGGTGCACCCCCTGGGAGGCAGCAGGTGATGGCTCAAGTTTTTGCATCCCTGCCACTGATGTAGGAGACCCAGACTCACCTTCAGGCTCCTGGCTTTTGCAGGTATTTGCAGGGTGTGTGTGTGGGGGGGTAAACCAACAGATGGACGGTCTCTCCATCACACAGTGGACTCCTTGGGTGAGCATGCCCACAATTATGTGTGCATTATTTAGCTCACAATTTTGATGGTTCAATCAAGTCCAAGACCAGGCATCCCGTTGGTTTGGCTTCTGATGAGGATGGCAGAAGACAGTGATAATGGCACAGTGTGTGTAGAAGAGGGACCAAAGAGCAAGCCAGGAAGCAGAGAGAGTAGCTGGGTCCAGTGCAGGCTTTTGTAATCAATCCTCTCAAGAACTGCCTTCTGAGCCTATCCCTAATGACCATGGACTGCCCACTAGAACCATCTCCTCAACGCCATAATGGGGTTAAGTTTCCATCCTCCTAGTGCCATCAACTTAAGATGCTTAAGGGCTTAAATATCTACATATGTTTGGGGGCCAAATCATATTCAAACAGTAAGTGCCAATTGTTATATGCATTCTAATTTATAACCCATAAGCTTAGGCATGTATCTTATCTTCAACATACGCATGAGGAAACTGAAATCCAAAGACGCAAAATCACCCGTCTCAGATCTCCCAGGTTATAAACTGTAGAGCTAGAATTTGAATGCAGGGCACCTGGCTTCAGAGCCTGCTCATAAAAAACCCCATGTGTTAAAAAAAAAATGTGTTTGCTCCGATGTGGGACTAACTACTTCCCCACCACACCCCCTGAAGCACCCGCACTTCCAAATGTGGGAGAGTGCAAGCAACAGGTGTGAGTCTACAATCCACCTATTTGTCATCAACTTCTTAGCCAATAACAACAGTGAAATCACAGAGGCAGGAAGTGAGTGTAGAAATCCTGTGTAAAAGGTAGGGGGAAATAAACGAAAGTGAGCACCATCCAACCAAATAGCCTATGAGACACAGGCCTTGGCTCAGACATGAGTGTTGTGAACAGCCTAGAAATCGGATGGGTTGCAAAGGAGAGAGTGAGAACAGTGTCAACATCCAGGATCTACAAAACATGAGCTAAGAGGTGAGTGGCTAAGGAAAAGCCCTAAGAAGGAAAATGAACCCAGAGGAGCCAAGGAGAGAATTCCCGAAAACAAACAATGTCCTTTAAGAATTCAACATGGCCTTGGAAAAAAAAATAGAAACAACACTGCAGAAAATTGCCAGCCTGGAAGACAGGCCTGATAACATAACCCAGAGAGCCAAAAAAAAAAAAAAAAAAAAGGGAGAGAGAGCGAGAGAAAGAAAATGGAGAGAGACAAACTGATACAGAAAACAGACAACTACCACAGAAATCACATTAGTCCAGGTCTCTTTCCTGGATTAAGACCAGAATCTTCAGACTGAATGGGGTACCCTCTACTTGATACATTTTTTAGAAAAACAAAAGAGTGGAGGTTAATAAAAATATTAGCTGTTAAGAGTAAAGAAATAAAATCTAGGCAGAAAAAAATCAAGTACAAAGAAAAAAAAAAAACAAAAACCCTTAAGCCCAGCTGGTATAAAAACCTCCTCACCTGCAATTGTTTTCAAAGTCAAGGCAGCCCCCATCGGCTGTGACTGGTCCATCAGTGGTCCCAGATGGGCCCTTGGGAGGCTGTGCTTACTGTTTATAAGAGAACAGGATGGAGCTAATAAAATGAATGAAAGCAAATGCCCAATTTGTGCAATTTCATCTGTGAGCTTCAGTTTCATCATAATGTTAGGATTTTGATCATCATACCCACTTTACAGAATTATCGTGAGGAACAAATGAGACTGCATATAAAAAAATAAAACAAAACCCTCAGCACAGGATGGCAAAGCATGGGGTCAGCAGAGATTTCTAACTGAACCAGAAAGGTGTGGTAGTCAGGAAAACAGCCACTCCAATGACGCAGACATCCTAATCCCGAGTCTCTGAACATTAGCGTATCTCGCTGAAGAGATTTTAAAGATGTTGTTAAGTGAAGGATTGTGAGATCAGGAGATGATTTTGGATGATCCAGCCAGGCCCGATGAGCCCACAGGAGCCCCCACATGTGAGAGAAGGAGCAGGTGCATCAGCATCTCAAAGGCATTGGTCTGAAGCGGAGTGCAGAGCGATCTTCTGCCTTGAAGATGGAGAAAGGTGCCAGGAGCCAAGGATGCTGGGAAGAGGAGGGGGACAGATTCTCCCTGAGTCCCTGCAGAAGGAACACAGCCCACCTGTACCTTGATTTTAGCCCAGTGGACCCGGACTTCTCAGATCCATAGCTCTAGGGAAACGCATTTGTTTTGTTTCAAAACCATTAACTTGTGGAACTTATCACTGTAGCAGGAACGACTAACACAATGACAAAAAGGCTGATTAAGTGCGCAGCATTCATTTTTCACATGTACTCTGTTTTATTTCAGTGCAGCCTTGGGCGTTATTTACTTTTCTTCTTAATGGCGTCAGATTCCAGCAGAACCAGGGAGGATTACGCACACACTCCTGAACCAGTCACGCTGTTCTGTTTAGCTCCTGAGCACTCTTGCCCACTGAAGGATAGGAAATTGCAGGTTGTCTTATGAAATTTCTGGAAAATAGGCCTTTTGATAATCACACTTGTCATATTGGGGGCAGGCAGGCACCAGCAGGGCAGGCATGAGCAGGAAGGCCCAGATTCATGAGAGCAAACAGCACAGTGATGGACCATGGGCAAGGAGAAATGGAGGTTAGGTTCAGGGAGATGAGCCCAGATGGGAGCGGCTCCTGAGTATGACGGGTCAAGACGAGGCAGGAAAGGCAGACTAGTGCTGAAGGTCAAGGCCAGTGAGCAGGAATCCAGCAACAGAAATCCAGGCAAAACTGAAGGACCGCAGAGATGATGTGCAGACAGTGAGGGGTCTCAGTGGTCAGAATGCTGTGGCCACCTGGAGGAGGCCACCTGTGAGAGGCAGTCTCGGCCCCAGGTGGAGGCAGAAGAGGAGATGTAAGGAGACGTTTTATGCAACCGCTAAGGGCTCAGCAATGCTCCCAGCAGGATTGGAGCGGGACAGGAATGCGGGGAGCCTGAAGTGGACCACAAGCACGAGGCAGGAAAGTAAGGACTCCCAGCCAAGACAGCAAGTAGCCTATAAATGCACACGGCTGCAAGGTCTGGGACGCTGGGATGAGGACCAGGGCGATGAAGGAATGTCGAAGTCCTGGGAAAAGCCAAAGAGAAGCCTGGCATGGATGAATGCCCACGGAATCCCAGGAAAGAGGCTGTCACATCCAGCTGGTGTCCTCCACTCAGACTCCTATGAACCCTTCCAGCCCCTCTAGCGTTTTTCAGACGCATGGACTTCCTTCTGAAATCGCGGGGCTTACTCTTTCCTGTTCTCGTGAGTTCTTCAAGCCTGTATGTCTCCTCTCCAGAAGCAGAATCCTCTTTGAGGCTTTCCTATTTTATAAGACAATCGAATACATTTCCCAGTGGGCACTGCCAGCCTGCGTTTTAGGGTGGGTGGCCTCAAAGCCTAATCAGAGACATGGTGATTTATGGAGTGCTCTCAGGAGAAAGGAGAGGAGAAGGGGCTAAGACAAAACTGGAGGCGTGCTTCAGCCTGATCCCACAGGGAGCCCTGGTGCACACCCTCAAGTTGATGCAACCTTGAGGCCCAGAGGCCTGCATCTGTCCCACCATGCCCAGTAGGCACTGGCCGT